CAATATATAGGAAACATCTTTAAAAATCTTCTTCTCAAGAACCACTGGGCAAGGAAAGGTGAAACTCAAGTGGAATCATCCTCAGGTAGTGTAGATTCAAGTTTGTTCAAATCATGACCCCCGGGGCAAGGGTTGGGCCAATATGGCCGACCCAAGTTTTACATAGGAATATGTAGGAAAAATCTTTAAAAATCATCTTCTCCGGAACCACTGGGCCAAGAAAGATGAAACTCATGTGGAATTATCCTCAGGTAGTGTAAATTTAAATTTGTTCAAATGATGACCCCTAGGGCTAGGGTGGGGCCCCATGCCGACCCAAGTTTTACATAGGAATATATAGGAAAATTCTTTAAAAATTTTCTTCTCCAGAACCACTAGGCCAGGAAAGACGAAAATCATGTGGAATTATCCTCAGGTAGTGTAGATTCAAGTTTGTTAAAATGATGACCCCCAGGGCATGGTGGGGCCAAAATGGCCGACCCAAGTTTTACATAGAAATATATAGAAAAAATCTTTAAAAATCTTCTTCTCCAGAACCACTGGGCCAGGAAAGGTGAAACTCAAGTGGAATTATCCTCAGGTAGTGTAGATTCAAGTTTGTTCAAATGATGACCCCTGGGTCTAGGGTGGGGCCAAAATGGCCGACCCAAGTTTTACATAGGAATCAATATAGGAAAAATCTTTAAAAATCTTCTTCTCCAGAACCACTTGGCCGGGAAAGATGAAATTCATGGGGAATCATCCTCAGGTAGTGTAAATTCAAGTTTGTTCAAATCATAACCCCTGGGTCTAGGGTGGGGCCAAAATGGCCCATCCAAGTTTTACATAGGGATATATATATAGGGAAACATTTTAAAATCTTCTTTTCAAGTACTTCAAAGCTATATTTAGTGTTATTTATATGGAATCATCCTCAGGTAGTGTAGATTCTAGTTTGTTCAAATGATGAACGCCTGGAAGGGGGGGGGGTAAATTCAAGCCCGATGTGCTCAGGTGAGCGCTGTGGCCCCTGGGCCTCTTGTTAACTCTTATATTTGATACTTTGTTTACCTTATATGGTTCCGAAACAGTCCTGTATATAATTTTGTAATGTCGGTGTAAAAAGAGTTTCATTTCGACGTCCGTAACCACAAACAGCCATTTCTTACCGATGAGAGGTAAGTAAATGATCAGGAATTGAAGTTGAATGTATGATAAATTATTAAATACCATAGCCATTTAAAATTATTTTCCAAGATGGGGAAAGTATAAAATACACGTAAAAATACCCATAGTGAGCGCTTAAAAATCGTCGGCGTAAATTGAAGGTTTTTACAACGCTTGGATCTGTAGCTCTCTGCTTTATCTGTCCAAATTTTCTCAAGCAGAGAGCTACAGTTCTGCAGCTACAAAAAATAGTGAAAATACATGTAGGGTGCAAGGTAAATGTTTTCTAACAGGAATGATTGAATGTATGTGGAATAACATCTCATAATCAGATTTGCTGAAATTATTTTGCCTGACCAATTCAAAGATGATGAAGATTTTAAAATTACATATAAAATGTAAAGGAAAATATCCTTTTTTGAGAATATATATAAGCAATTTTTTGCTTTCAAGATTCATTTTCCAAACTTATGGACTAAGGATGAGGTAACAAAGAGAGTTTAAGTTTTTCTTAGAGATATTTCAAAATATTTTTGAAAATTTCAAAATGTTATCGTGCTATAAATTGTTAAACTTATCTCCAATTGTTCTTAATATACAAGAAAAATGTAAACTAAAAGAGAATGAACACTTTTATAATGTTTAAAATGAAATATAAAAAACTTTTATTCTTTCCTTTAGAAATTATAGGACATTAAACTGTCTCAAATAAAGATAAGCATGATAATTGATTATATATTATTTTCAAGATATTCAAAATTGTTCAACCGTGTACAGTTATATAAGTCAACCTTTGCCTTAAAAAAAATAATAAATAAATGATAAATATGCATAACTCAGAAAAAAAACTAATAAATACGGAAAGCGCAAGTTAATAGAAAAATGCTAAGTTAATAAGAAAAAAATTGTGATTTAGAAAATTAAGACACACATTTAAAGTATATTGACAAAAATGAAAAAAAATGTTTTTAGGAATCCTACCTGCAAATTCCACTGTGGTTGTTCTCTCCACAGAGTGGCAGATTCAACAGCTAAAGGACCATCTTAAAACATAAGAAATAATGACATTGAAATTATTTTTAAATATAAGTCGATTAATTTTGCATCCCCCCTTTTTAATAGTGAAAAATAAAAGCGAAGTCTGCTTCATAACTAACATATAATGCAATGTAAAAAGAAATAAATAGCTAGCATACCCAAAATACACTCTTTGAATAAAAAATAAGCAAAATTAATTTGATTAAAAATGTATTCATGCTTCATAATATACAATACATTTTCTAAAATATGATATTTATTCGTATTTATTCTTTGATGGAATTTAATGATTCATAACCTCTATTTCTATCCAAAAAGATGTTTTGAAATGAACTTATATTTCTTAAAAATTCTAAAATTATTCTTGGTATAAATGCATAAAAACAATACTTATAACATAATTATAGTAAAATATTGAAAAATTTGATAGATAATTAGATGATATTAATAAAATACAGGAAATGATAATTGAAACACTGATGTTACTAATTAAAGTAAATTTGTTCTCACCTTTTACGATGTAGACTTCCATGTCAGTGAGATTATTATGTCCGTTTGCAATTGACTGAGCTGTTTCTCCGTCCATGTGAAAGTGTGAACCACTAAAATAGTCAGTAGTGGACATCGTGTAGTATCCATTATATTTGCTAACGGTTGTAGAAAAAGAACCCAAATTGTAAAACCATGGTCCATGATTAGTGCTCTTAAAATGATTTGCGCTTTTACCTGTGGAGAGAAATTTTTGGGGCTTCCAGTCTCCAACACTGTATAATTTAAAAAGAAACGCATTTTGGTCGGTACACCAGCCATTCGAAGCACCCCAAGTTTCTGATAAATATCCGCCATAGACATTGTTATCCTTGTTATAGAATACACTCACTGTAGGTCCCTTATTGTCACACAACTTATGGAACTTCTCGGCCGAACCCCCATCTCTGCTGACCTTGTACAGAAGAACGAGATTACAAGCCCTGCCGATCCATTCTGACAACTGTCTCCTATCCTTATTCTTCAGCAGACCATCCATAACTCTTTGTAAATAAAATAAAACATAATGCATGTAATGTGTTTGATGCAATATTTACGATGCAAAACTGTAATTTATTTATTAAATTTCTATATAAAAAGACATGCACCAGTTTGAAAACATACCTTGGTATTATGTATCTTGTTAGCAGAAAGAGTGGATGTAATGTATAGAAATAGAAATAGTTTACATTTAACATATTCTCGAATCCTTAGATAATAAAAAAAAAGATGAATCTTTTCATTCATTTTTTATGTATATGCTATTCTCCATTCATAGATATTTAATTTTTTAATTTGTTTATTTCACTTTGTTATCAAAATAATTATTCGAATACACTGAAATTGTACAATAGCAAGGAAACTATCCGTATACTTGTACTGAAATCTTGCAGGTTATAAAATGTAAAGCTTATGTATTGTTTAGAGTTAATTTAAAATGTATTTAATGAATGTTCTCTTTTTTTCAGATAACGTTTTTGTTTTTGTAAACAGTATATAATTTATTTTAAAAAGAGTAATATTAAAAGCAAGAGTATACTCTTGCTTTTAATATTAAACTTTTTCACAATAAATAAATTTAAATGAGAGACGAAATCATTTATGTTTTTTAATTAAAAAATGACAAAAAAATTATAGGCTAACCACATGCAGATGGGAATATTTGAATTCCTACAAATGTGGCAAAATATATGTGTACACGTATATTATGAAGAAGTTTCGTCTGGTATTCCATACCACCTTATAACCGAATTTTAATAATACACTGTAATCGTGTTTCTGACAAAGACACAAAGAAACATCGTTACCCCATTTTCTTTCTTTATTTCTACAATATAAAACAAATATATTCTCTTCATTTACTAAAAAAAATGATTTGTAAATGACCGACTACTTTACCTTAATGTCGAAAAATACTGCCACCATAAACGTCCAGAATCTGACCAAAACCACTTTGGGTTACTTTCGTTTTTGAATACGACGCCCCAGATCAATATGAAATTGGTGAAAATAAATCACAAATAACGTTTACTTTCGTAAATACTGTATTTATTACAGTACTTTTCAAAAGTTAGAATTTTTTATTTGTTAAAATAATTTTAAAGAAATCTCTAAGTTGTTATGCATGGCAAAATTAAAAAATTTCTTTAAAAAAAGTTACGATGGCTGTTCAATAAAAAATGGAACAAATACAGTACATAATTATAAATGAATAGGCATTTTATTTTATTTTTTACGGTTGAAAAGTTCAATAAAAAGTTCCTTATCAGAAAACCTCGTGATTTCCCCTCTTGTTCCTGTAAAGAAATTCAGTAAGTAAGCATGACCACTACAGTGAGCTTAAAGCTATTTAGAAATGATTTCTGCAAAGAAATGAAAATATGTGAAAACTTTTTAAAACTGTTTAAGGGGGATGTACGGCCACCTTTAATGCAGTGAGATCAAAATGTAAACATTTCTTCAAATGGCTAAAATACATTATATTTTGATCAAATTTTAAGTCCTTATGATAAAGATACAATAAATATGCATAACTGAATGCATGTTGTGTATATATAATCTATACTTTTGCAGAAAAATGCTTTTGATATGCTCTTTAGAACTGCGCAGCTACAGAATTCAGCAGAGCCTTAAAAAATCCAAAAAAATATGCAAACTGTGCATTAATGTTTTCTCTACAACCATTTGTTGAGAAAATGTCTAAATTTTGCACTTTTGAATGATAATTTCAAGTTCAAAACAAGGTACCATTGTTTTCAAAAAGAGTGCAAATAACCATGAAAGTAGTTCATGGATAGCAGCACGTAGTCTATTTTTAGCACAGAATTTTGTTTTCCAGACCTCTTTTTAATATGGAGGGACATAACAATCTTTATATGTAGAAGAGAATTACAGTTGCAAAATATTTCAAATAATATGAACACTTTTAAAAGAGGAAAGGTGTTATAGTGTGGCTTGAAGTAATTTAGTTAGTATTATTATCGAACAGTTGTTAAATAGTGTGCGTATTGATATTAAAAAAAATCTTAAACTCTTTGATTCCAGGTAAGGAAAAATGAGCACCATCAAAGTTAAAAATTAAGAGTTTGTAAGTTTGCAATAGATAACTTATATTATCAATCAAAATTTTAATTATCACCAATGAAACACAAAGAAATAAGACACATATAATCGATATGAATGACCTTGCTTTAATACCTACTAGTACCAGGGGTGATCAAAAAGTTCGAACGATATCTATAAAACCATAATTCAGATTAGAAACATAGCCAAACACAAGTTTTGTAAATAGCATATGTTGAAGTTTTGCTCCTTGTTTGTGATGTCACAATCTGAAAATGACGTCATGCAGGTACTTGTGACAAAAATTCTATTTGCCCATATCGTCAAAATTAACATTTTACAAAGTAAAGAAAAAAATCAACATAATTAAATATTTTATACCATCTTTAAAATGACGTTTGGTGGTCCTCCCAACTCAGGGAAAAATTATTGGGTCCGTATTTTTAGGTGAGAAAGAAATTCCTTAAAATTTAAACATAATTGTTGACGGAAGAAAAATTTTAAAAAATTGTGTAATGGGATATAAAAAAATGAGTCGGTCCATTTCCAGGCAGTAGATCGGGAGAGAGGGCAACCAAATATTTTTATAACAAGTATTCTTATAAGGCTAGTACGTATTCCATCACGTACTTAATTAGTAATGCAAAATTTTTTAATCTTTTGCACTATTTTGAACAATTTTGAAAAAAAAACATAGGATTTTTTTTTTTTTTTGGGGGGGGGGGGGGGCTCTCACTTTTTTTGCGATGATAGACATAGCATATGCAATGGACCTTTCTTTGCAAACATTGTACTCGCTTCTAAATTTCAAAGAAACAATTCAATATATTTTATCAAGCTTCGTATGTTAAATGAGCGAGGAGAGCTTACAACGTTGTCAACATTTTGAGACATGATGCGTTTTTATGTCTAAACATTACTCCATACAATATGTTTGTCATTGCAAACAATCTAGCTATTTATGTGAGGTGCCTGAAGGAAATCCTATGACTGTCTATTTTTTCTATCTAACTTCTAAACAAAATATACATATGTACCAATTTTAGAATGTAAGACATGTAATTAAAATTTGTTTTTCATGCACTGCATATTGTTTAACATTTTCAAATTAAATGCTAAGCATCCTCCTTGCAGTGCCCCATTTGAAAATAACTTCTATCGCCACAGAAAAAAGACCCGCCGTAAACACATATGTTTAGGACATTTTTATCTTTTTTTCTTGAGTTTTAAAGAAACCAACAAATTATCAAGACTTGTTCAATGAAAAATTAAATATAATCATGTTAATAAACGGATCTATCCACAGCAGATCTCTGGTCATGCTAACCACGTGCTCAGTGGAATAATTTTTACTAGGAAACTCGAACTGTAAACAGAACAGTTTTTCCCGATTTGCTCGAATGGGGCTAAAATCGCGTTTTTTCATTAATCAGATGATGCGATGCAACAAATATAAGTAGTAAGTAATAAAACCTAATGATTATTACTTAGTAATTTCTTGTCTTGATGTGTTTATGGTCGCATTTATTCTAAAATCAATGTTATTCGAACTCTGTTTGACAGAGGAATGGCGGACGAAATAAACACATTGCCTCAGGAAGACACCCATATGAAAAATAAAATTTTCAAGAATTATGGATAATGACAAGAAAAAAGCGAAACAAATGGTTGTAGCCATATTATCAATGAATCAAACTAACACCCTTTTCAATGCATTTACCATCTCGTAAATGCTGTAGCTGCGCAGTTCTAACATGATTTATTTCCTCCTAATTAAAACTAAACAAACTTAATTGTTTACTAATTTTGGTCTCTAACAGTAGGTAATTAGTGCATTAGCACGTTTAGTAACTTTGGGCTAGTTTAGTAGAGTATTTAGCGCATTCTTGGTATTTCTTATTTTACACCAAACTAGATCCAACATGGCTTGTACATCCCCCTTAAACGATCCAGGGAAAATCTCTTATGAAAACTAATTGTTATATGCGGTAAAATCTTTATCGCTGTATAGTTTTCAGATGATGGATGGATTCGGAAATTCAAAATGGAGAATTGATATATACTAATATAGCTGTCAAACTATTCATTTGAAATCTGCTTTTTGATTAACGCTGAAAAACATCATTAGGACACTAAATAATTTAACACCTCAACGTTTCAAAAAGGAGAAGAAATATTTCTTTTAGATAGGAGAACTATTTTCATACAAATGATTGAGAGAAAAAATGCGTTAAATATGACAATGATCTATTTATATAAGAGATATTTTTGCAAAATAGAAAACTTTATTTTGCTTGATGGATGACAAAACCTAGCTGCACTTTTCAATCGCAAGATCTGAGCCATTGTGAGACATTTTTATAGAAAAAGTATGAAAACACAACAATACGTTATATCGCGACTACCAATGAGTACCTCGCAGTTATCTAACTTACTACCGCTCTTTTGCGGGGGAGTCGAGAAAAGTCTACATTTCTGGGGGCAAATGACATTGTTTACAGTAGTGACAATCGAATGATTCGAACAATTTAATGCCGAAATCACGATGTTTTGCCAGATATTGGGCTCCAAAGAAGAGTCCGCTTAATTAAAGATATCGTTAAAAATATGACAATTAAGGATTGGCTCCTCTCAAAAATATATTAGGCTGGTTCAGCGATTGTTTAGCGAGGTATTCCACCAGGATTTTTTACTTATCTGTCCTTATAAATGCTACAATGATCGATCTTGCATTGTATTGAAAAGCACATTGCCCCCACCCAACAGACGATTCCTACCTCCTTCACGAAAGTGTTCCGCAAAGTTAAGTAATCGCGATATCAAGTATTGCAATCAAAGAAAAATTTTACAATACTATACATGTATATGTCATTTGAAGTGATATTCCTCAGTGCCTTTAGGACGGTTCTGAATATGAGTAGCTTAAGTTTTCTAAAGTTTTCTGATCATGAGTAAAAAGAACTAAGACATGTGTGAAGGGTAAAAGAGAATACAATACTTTGAGGGATTGATGCTATATATATAGTCGATGCAATGACCTCGTAAGCAAATACAATTTTGCATGGAGCCAAATGCTGACTTGCGTTTTTCATACTAATTGTTAGTTCATTATTTTGACACTGAATTGACGACGGATTTTCCCGTTATATCCTGATAATGAAAAAGAGCACACGGTGGGTGTGACCGGTCGGCAGGGGATGCTCACTTCTCCATGGCACCTGGTCCCACCTCTGATGTTCTGGAGATCGTCATAAGCTGTCATACGGGGACATTAGTATTTCACAGACACATTTTGTTTCTCTTAAAATTAATATTTTGATATTTTTAAGAATCTTTATTTTTAAAAGAGTTATATACTTAAAGTAATAAGCGGTGTGAGACTTCTTATATCTATAACGGTGTAAACTTTAACTAATAACGGAGCTTGAGCTTTATTCGTATATGGAGTACTCTATCATTTTAAGTACTTGCATTTATGTAGGCATCGTCGGAAACCCACGGGTGATCTCGTCTTTACTTATCACCCGTGGGCAAACTCGCCGAAAAATCGTCGTATGTAATTAAATATGCATTGGTCATTTGATTGGCCGCATTACAGAATCACGATGCGAAACAACGAATCACAGTTCATGTTACGTATGCATGTTCGGCATTGCAAAAAACATGAAAAACTCTTCCGTAGTTAACCCAGCTGATAAATCCACTCATTGGTGTATTTTGCAGTTAGAAAGGGGTACACCTTTATAATATATGATGGATATTAATGTCAGTGACCTGTACGAATTGACTTTAATTGTTTTAATTCAAACCTCGCACGTTTTAACGAGCGTCAAAATATTTACCATCAATAGCAAAGTAATAAACGTATTTTTCAAAATTGAAGAGTTCCAACTTTCTGATTGGTTGACTAAAAACAACAAATTAGCATATTTTACGGCGATA